GCCTTTTTTTTTTTTTTTTTTTTTAGGTTCTGTAATATTAATAAGTATATGCATATTACAGGTTACTAATTTTCCCAACAAGCCCTTGAATGGAGCTCACCAGATACAGAGTTTTTGTCTCGGTCATACAGAGTAAGAGTTGCTTACATTATTCTTGAATTTGATGACTTTCAATGAATAACAATACGAACATTTCATGATTGCGGATGCTGAGTGTCGCATAAGTCCTTTTTTGATATGATCCATTTCAAATTGGATTAGGATCACCTGAACAAAACTGCACCAAACAATGCATGAAATTTGTAAAAATTGTTTCTAAATTATAATTAAATATAAATAATGTTATTTTATGGCTTAGATTTTGTGATAGAGAACCCTGATTCAAAAAAAATGTATCTACTTGCAGGTTTGTTTCCTGCCTTGCCTTCATTCAGTCTCAGGAGTGCCCTCAAGGTCTTCTTGTCTCTGGAAGTGGTGATTCCACAGTTAGTAATTCATTCAACCTATCAGGATTCAACCATTCTGTCTATTTTCTTTATGACTCTCTTTTAGATGAAAATAACGTGAATTGCTTTCCACAGGTTCGGTTGTGGGATATCACCTCTGGAGCACTCTTAGATACCTGTGAGGTTGCAATTAAGGTATTTCCATATTAATCAGAGTTGTATAATTTTTTTTGTCACTATGAAAGCATTTTGAAAATTATTACTGGACTATTCAATTCTTGTCAACATGAATAAAATAATTTATAGCGATTTCAATAAAGTGATGGTTATTATCTCCTTTTGCTGTTGCACTTGGTTTTTACGTTCTTGTTTTTCTTCCTCTGTTTCCAAAGGCAGGACTTTTAGAGTCTAATGGCAAAGCAGAGGAGCATGGCCATGCTGTTACTGATTTATGCACCATCCAGGATGGTTTGCTTGTTGCAGTAGCCATTCAGAGGCAAGTCTCTCACAATAGCATTCTGTCATATTTTGCTTTGGGAGAATTGTTTTGGTTTACTGACAAGTTTTATCTGATACCCCTGTAGTTTGCAAGGAATAGTATTGTTGAATTGCAATGTTTCAGCACAAACTCTCTCTCTTGCAAAGGTAATGGCTGTTATTGTAAACACATGCTTGAAATGATCATTGACTTGCCTCATTATGGGTTATGTTTAGTTAGGGTCCGTTTCTATTTTTCATTTGCGAAGTTAGATTTCTACCCGTGTTGTTGTTATGAAAGCAAAGTAAACTGCTATTGCCTAAGAAGGAAAATATTTGTTTCTAAAGGAAAGCATTTAAAATGACGGGAACATTGCAGGTGGTTTCTGTTGCTGGAGAGGCCTTTGTCCCTACCTGCTTGGGGAGCAGCTCCTCTACAGGGAAATTGTGGATGGTTACAGGTGTCTCTAATTTACCTGGTTGTAATAACCCCTCTTTGGCTCGTGTCCGAGTAATTTCTGGTATTGATGTTAAGCAAGAGCCAGTTGTTCTGGAAGATGATAACATACCTGGGAGAGAAAAGTTGCTAGAAACGTTGCAAGGAACTGCATCCGTTGATGACAATGTGTTTTTAGCAGCAGCTGAAGCAGTCAAAGCAGCAATGTGCAACCTATTGATAAAAAAACAATACCCTTCAGAGAATAGAGAATATAGGAAGAAAAGCAGAAATGATAGAAAACTCAAGGGCTAGCATTTTATTTATTTATTTTGTTTTTTTTTATTAATATATGAAGCAGCTTAGCTCGATTTCCTCGATCACTAGTTTCCAAGGACTATTCTTGATTATCCATTTTATTTATTTTCTGATTAACTGTGCATCTGAAATATTAAACCGGATTGCGATCAATTTTATGGTAGGCCTTTTTAAATTGTAAGTATGCAAACACCTTGCAATTGTTGTTCAGAGTCAGTGTATTAAACTTGCATTAACTATGAACACCGGGACGATAACTTTAGGCAAGTTGGCTCCATGGATGCGCGAGTTTCTTTCGTTATAAGTGTTGAACTTTAATGCTAAGCTGAAATCACCGGTATCTGCATCTTCAGCACATCAATTAGATGAAAAAAAATGGAGGGAAGCTGCTACTGCTCATTAACCTTTGCGTCTGCTAGGTTGAAGAGTCCTAGAGAATTTACTTGCATCTAGCTCTGAAGCAGTAATCGTTGGATTCTCCATGCAAGTTCCAGTTAATCAACCCATTAGGCTATGCTAAGACCGACTTAAAATTGACTCAATTACATAAGTCGATTTGAAATCGGTCTAATCACTTTGGGATCAATCTAATCATGTGTGGGTCAATATAATCATGCATTCACGAATGCTACCATGTGTATCATAACAAATTATCTGGTCTACATGAATAATAAACTTCTACCCTTATTACCATTATATAAATCAACCTCACGTTACAAGTGAGACATTTCTTTTCTTACATGTTATTACTTGGCTTGAATTCTTAGTGACTTGAACTTTAGATTGCATGCTGGTGATGTCTAACAGTACCATCAACCCTTGCTGCTTGGGTACTGCTTCATTAGAGCTAGTTCGTTGAAATCTTTCCCTTTTTTTCGGTTCGAATATAATCCAAAAACACGTTCTAATCATCAAATCAACTAGTAAAACCATTTAACACAATCAATCAAAATTAAATTGCACATGTTATGTGGTTGATTGATTTTAATTACCTAAGTCTAACTTTAACATGTTTCGGACTTAACACAGTTGATTTCTTGTGCTGAGTAAAGAATGGTCTAATACTAGTAAGACTCATTCAAGATTACTTGAATATACAAATATATAAATCTGAACTATAAATTATTGGATATCAAAGTAACTAAATAATAACATGACTAAAATAAGACGTGAGAAAACAAGAAAGAAAAAAAAGAGAAGACAATAAGCATAATAGAAAAAAAGAAACCTTACCAAATGAAAAAATTATATTATTTTTCATTCTAAAATTCACTCCTTAAAATAGAAAAATATTATTAACAAGAGAAACTTATCGAAGTAAATTAAATAGAAGAAAAGAAGTTTGAAATACTTGTAGGGGCCACAAAACCTTATTTTATAGACTAAGCATGGAGCTAATAATAAATCCACTTTGACAACTAACAATTTTTATTTTTATTTTTATTTTTATTTTTTATATCTTGCCTTCATTAAAACTTCTTTAGAAGTTGTCATGATCACATTTTTATTCACATTAATATCTTCATTTTCTCATTTTTTGGCCCATAGTCGATAATGAGTTTTGGCTTCGTAAACAATATATTGTTCCATCAATGACGTATTTTGGCCCCACGTCAACATAGAAATCATATACCAACACGTCAGCATGAAGGTGAAAAAATTAATAACAATCAAAATGATTGGGTTGATGCCATCAATGAATGCAAGCAACTCCACTTATCTGATAAAAATCTAAACTGATAGAGATGGTAAGTTAGCGCTGTTATTACTATAACAGAGAAACTATATATTAATTTTAGATACAAGCTACTGTGTATCTCAAAAAATAATAAAACATTAAATCACTATATATTTGATTAAGTTAGAAATAGAATGATAATAAAGTTGACTTATCATAATTAAAGAAAAAAATAAAATAATTATCATACATTAATAAATAGTTTTTTTCTAATAAAAATCTTTCACCCTTTAATTACTTAAAATCAATTAACAAATTGGAACTCAATCACTAACTACCACCATAGGCATGTATACTGTTTTAATAGCATTAATTATTTTGTGATATGATGGCTTTGTTGATGGAGAACTACTTGATTGAATAATTGTTGCGTAGATGCCCCCGTGGCTCTCTAATCTTTACTACAAAGAGAAAGTGAGATACAATCGAATGGAAGCACAGAAAAGGTGAAATGACATGACACTAGATGACTGTAATGACGCAACTCAGCTCATTTTAGGAAATAAAACATTAAAACTGCCCTATACATTGTATATAGTCAATTAAGATATTTGTACAACAGAAATTTTCACACAAAATTTCAGATTTAATGTAGCAGGTTAAATAAATTATTTAATAGTTTATTTTGCATGCACTTTTCTACAATTAGCTATAAATATTTGAAATATTTTTTAAACTAATTATTATAAAAATAATTTTATAATATATGTTAATTTATGATTAAATAAAAATTTAAACTATCTTTAAATTATCGATATTATTTAGAGTAAATTACGTTACTCTCGAAAATAAGATTATTACACTATTTTTCTCTTTTATGTTAAAATATATAATTTGGTTTATTTAATTTAATATTATTAATATAAATTACATTCTTAAAATATTTTTATTAATTAAAATATATCAATTCATTGTCATTCATTCATTTGATTAAAAAATTATAAACATATAATAAAATTTAAATTAATTAAAATAATAAGTAAATATAATTTATAAATAAATTATATAGGCATACTTTTATATTTATATGTCAATATATATAATATAAATTAATATATATAT